GTCTGGCAGCTAAGTTTTGCACCAGCTGCAGCTTCTGAACAGTCCTCAAGGGCAGCTCCACATAGGTACATTGCAGTAATTTTAATCTAGGGAGTACCAGAGCATAGATTACTGATAGCAGACTTTCTCTGTCCATATAGGGGCATAGCTGAGCCACCAGCTGAAGCTGGTAGAAGGTACTCTGAGCCACTGAAGCCACCTGGGACTCAAGTGGCAAAGATGGCTTAAGGAGTACTCCCAAGCTGCGAACTTCTCCTTCAAGGGGACTGCAGCCACATCTAGAACAGGTTGAATTCCCTCCATGTGGCTAGAGGATTAGCCCACTAATGGCATCTCAGTCTTGTCTGGATTGAGCTTCAGTTTGTTAGCTTAACTCATCCAGAACTACAAACAGAGCCTTTCTAAATCCTCTTCCACACACTGACAGTGATGTTTCCCAGTTCTGTGATGGATGTAAGTCTTACTTTTCCAGTGGCCTTTCTTTAAACAACAACTGCATTTTTCTATAGGCTTATAGAACAGCTCTTTTTCAGGGTATGTAAAATAAATCTCTGCTTCAAACATTTTTTAAACAGCAACTGTTAAATCCTCAAATTTTTCATCCTGTGCTTATGATACAAGTACTCTTTCTTCCATCCTCTGTTTTATCTCTGGTCTCACATATCCCTAGTTATTTTTAGTCAAACCTGCATTTTTAGGCTTTTCTTACCCTCTGGGGTAACCACAGGGAATGTGCATTTGTACATACTTATGGATGTAGCCATCTTTATCAACTACATTAATTTCAGAAAAGTGGGAAGGAATACCACAGGCTAGTAGAAATTGCATTGCACCGCTGTTACAGTGAAGAAATGGCACACTTTCTATATGACAGAGACAAACGAAAAAGTCCATCTTGTGTGTATTGCTTTCATGAGTATAGATAGGTGTAGCCTTTTTGGTTTTATTTCTCCATAAAGGAAACCGTAAAATCTTCCCTGGCAGTATATTGCTGTATTTATTGAAGTATTTCTGTATCAGTATATTGCCAGGCAGGGTACAATAATTTTAAAAAATTCAGCATAAAAGCACAGCAGTATAAAATCAACATTGATAACTTAAGCAACCAAAACAGGCAATGGCATAGTTCACATGATGTGATGAACCACCATGGCTTAATTTACCCATGGGGGCTGTTATGTCTTGCCAGGCACTGTGCCTGATTATACAAAACAAACTCAGACATTTATTTACCGCATTTTTCGTTCTATAAGGCGCACCTGACCATAAGACGCACCTAGTTTTTAGAGGAGGGATCCATGGAAAGCTTCTTGGTAATCACAGGCACATTCCCCATCACTTCCCCGTGGGCTTCATTAAAAGATGGGTTGCCGTTTGAAAACACATCGACCTGTGATTAACAGCTCTCACCTATGCTGGAGGAGGGGGGCGGAGCAGGGTGCGCCAAGTGTGTGCCGGCCAGTTGTGATGCAGCCGGGCCAGCAGCATGCCAGCGGTGGTCTTCTGGGCGGTGGGGGTGAGCAGTCCGTCTCTGTGCGGCCGGCGGGTTAAAGCCCACGGCTCCTCCGCAGCAGGTCTTCCCGGGGCGGTGGGGCTGAGCAGTCCATCTCTCCATGCGGCCGGCAGTTAAAGCCCGCGGCTGCTCCTCCTCCGCACTGCTCTCCCTGAGTGGCACAGCTCTCACCTGCGCCGGAGGGGGGGGGTGGAGCAGCACGCACCGAGCGTGTGCTGGCCAGGTGGTGCCACATGATGCAGGCAGGTCGGCAGCATCCCGGGCGTCAGGCACACACACATTCACTCTATAAGACGCACAGACATTTCCCCTTTTGAGGGGGAAAAAAGTGCGTCTTACAGAGCGAAAAATACGGTATTTACCATTAATTCCGTCATTTATTCATTCATTTTTATACTGTTCTATAGCTGAGGCTCTCTGGGTGGTTAACAGAAGTCATCAGTGGTTGAGGGTTAGACAAGCCTCCCATTACCTATGGCTTGTTTTTTTTGGGTTGCCTGAAGGGTGTCTAACTCTCAAAACAACCACTATTGTCTGGGTTTGCATGGCATGACAAACTTGGCACCAACAGGTACAACACAACAGCCCCCAGAGTTAAGCTACAGTGGATTTTCAGAACATGTACACAGACCCAATAAAACCCAAAGCTTTAGGTAAATAACTGAGTCTTGATTTGCTGCCGAAATGAAGCCAGTATCAGCCAGGCTCTTAGGGGAGGATAACCAGGTTATCCCAAACAACAAAAATACCCTCTCTTGTGTCTCCACATAATGTATACCATGTAATATATTTCTGTAAGTAGACTTTGAATAAGCTCTGTTACTGTGCAATACTCTCCAACTCATCTTCTAGCCAACCTAGACAGTCTTTTTTTTACATTTCTCATGCTTTTAGGGAAAATAGTAAAGAATGTATATTTTGTTAGAATTAATCTAATTCATGGACAAATAAGGGTAGAGTGCTGCAATGTTGCTCCTCCCAAATGCCAAATATTATTAAGTGTAGTGCTCTCAACTGGCAAATTAACTTAATCCTGGAAAATAAAGACTGAGTCAATTCTTCAGCAAAATCTGATTGATGTTTTCTAGATGTTGTGAAGCATAAGTTAGTCATTAAAAGAAATACGGGCACACCTTGGACTGAGGTCTGCAATTTTGTGGTTGTCGTCATGTGACTTCATGTTGCACCACTCTGTCTCACACACTGAGAAGGTAGATGTTTGTATGCATGGTGGATCCCATGGGTGCCTATTTTGGATTCTGTGCTTCATGCACAGTAATATAACAGAATTGCACAATGTAAGTGCTCTTTCCATCAGGGGATGTAGGGTTTTGCTAATGAATGCTATCCATCTTTCATGATTTAATTTCTGAATGAAATAGTTATGATGTAGTAAGTTTATTGTGAGGTTTTGTAACCCCCCTTTCCTAGTCCCTGTATTTCTTTCTTACATGGATTTCAAAAGGGTTGCTTTTTTTGACCATTGGTAAACAGTTGTTCCATTAAAGGCACAATCTTAAGGCCTCCTGGCATTGTCTGGGAGGCCGTAAGATTATTCGGAGTCCCAACTTCAAGACTCTATGATCTCTGAGCTGAGTTTCCAAAGGCTGTGCCCCCACCTGACCTTCTTGTATCTGCCACAAAAGGAGTCATGTTCCAGGGGTAGGATCTGTGCCTTGGAGGGGGGAAGTGGTGTGCCTCGAGTGAGAAAAAGAGGACACTGGGTCTGCAAACGATACCAAATTTTACTAGTCTCCCAGCCTCCTTCTGTTTCCCTCTCTGGTACTTTATCTAAGCAGCCAAAAAATAGCTACCTAAAGTACCCAATGTGAGGCTCGGAAGCAGCAGAGATTGCTAACTTTACTGCATCTCCTGGGCAGAGGATGCACGTAAGCCTCACAGTACATTCAGACTGAGTGGTATAGGATGACACTTACAGCTTTGTATGTTCTGCAGTAGTTGACCAGTAAAAGAGATTGTTGGAGCTGCCACAACAGGGAAATGGGGATTGTTTTATTCTATGTGCCACAGCTACCAAGTGGGAATTTTGCAGTGTGGCATTGTCCCCTTTTAAGTCTCTGAAATCTATTGATTCTACAAGTGGCTGATACTAGTTAACAATATGGAACTGTTCTCAAACATGGCTTGACACATTTTTTCTAAGTTGAGCAGATGTTTTAAGCATCAGAATTCTCCCTAGTGCACACTTCCCATTTTAATATATCCATTCTTCATTCTTTCCTTTTGTGTGGCATCCACTCTTTTGCAGTATTGTCATGAATACTCTGGTGCCTTTCTCGCCTCTTAAATTCTCCTCTCACTGACACTAATTCTCAGATGATCTTAGAGACATATGTTCCCTTAGTGGAGTTTTTATGAACACTCCAATAAAATCTACACTGGAGAAAAGCTACTAGTGCTTATGTTTGTATTCAAAGCTTGAACCAATTGCACAGTGTTCTTAAAGAACATTTCAGCTTAAATTACTAAATGACCTGAAGCAGATGAGTTGCAAAACATAATGCTGCAGTTTAGAAACCAGTGTGTTTGTGGCACGTTCCATTTGGCTGGTTTTAAAAAAACCCTCTGGTGCAATTTATAGATTGGAGGAGACAAATATAAAACATAGCATTGCAGCAGGAATCTTGTGGACTGCATGAAGAACATTGTTGAAAGCCAAATTAAATAAGATGCAGGGCACAGTGATTAGATCATCCAATATTTCTATTTGTAAAACAAAATGGGGAGCTCAGATTTTGAGAAGCAGCATTTCCGAGGAAGAAATTGATCGCCCTACCCCATTTGAACAAACACACAAAGCAAAAGCAGCTGGTGTTTACCATGCTAGTGGAAACATGACTTCTATGTTTTTTCCAGTAAAGTAAACAACAGTCTTGCACTTTATTTTAAAATGGTTCAGGGAGAGTTAACCCGCATATTGATACTCTAATCAGAGTTAGTGCCCCCTGCAGTTGCCTTAAAATAAACATTAGGAGATCTGATCAGAGCTCTCCCATGCCTTGTGTAGTTGACCTTGAATAAAGTAGGAACGGGGTGTATAACATGCCTGTGGACACTAGTGCACCCCCTGAACACCTTTCTTGACACTTGCTGAGTCACCCAACCCCTTGTACTTGCTATGATGTTAAGATATTTTCTTTCTTGTAGTTGGAATCACTGGAAAATAGCTTTCTGCTGCATTTGTTCAGTGTGTTGGAGCTCAAGCCCCACCTCTGCCTTCTACTCTGTATTTTGGGTATGCTATCTGCCTACTCCTGTTCTAGGAAATGTTGATAAAGCAACCTGCATGCTTGCTGTGGATCTTTCAGGGTAATTATTAAGGAACTGCATTGCATTGCTTGGAACAATTGGCATCATCTGTGGTATAGCCAGCATTAATGTCACTGTGCCTCATAAAATGACATTCAGCTTTGATTATTTACTTCCAAGATTGTACTGTTTACATTTCTTTAACAATTTCTTTCAGCTGGGAAGGGATATCCCTGTGATGACTGTAATATAGTACTGAACTCAATAGAGCAGTACCAAGCTCACATCAGCGGTTTCAAACACAAGAACCAGTAAGTTCTTACTACTGCCTGTAGTAGCTAAATTGTGTAGCTTGCCATTGAAAAGGAAGCGGTATCCCACATCTGTCTTACAGCCAGGTGGATTGCTATAAAGTTATATATTTCCTAAACAATGGTGCAAATCTGACCACAGAATCCTGTTAATGTGCAAATAAATAGTATTACATCCTTTTCAGTAATCAACACTTACACCTGTTTGTGGTATGAGGGGTCTTCAGAAAGTTTCTGCATTTCATATTTTATATTTTATAAATATATTTTATATATTTTTTGCTCATGGCTTTAAAAAGTTGGTACAACACTGAGAAAAATGTATTGCAAAGAAAGGTGACTGTGCAGAAAAGTGATGTGATTTGTTTTTGAAATTCTTAATAGAGTTTCAAAAGGTATGGAAGAACCCTCATACTTGGTAACACATACTTTGTGTTTTGGGTCTTTAAAATGTTCCCATACAGGGTCTTTACTACAGCTGGCAGCCAAGAGAATATAGGAACCATGTAGAATAACATATGGGAGAGAAAGAGATATACTGCATGGAAAGCATGGGAATATAGGAACTGTATATAAACATTGGTCCAGTTTGCATATCATAGTAGCAGTGCAGCAAGAATGAACATGCTAGTTCTCCTGCATATACCTGTTTCCACTGTAATTATTTACAAAACATCAGAACCTCCCAAAACTCTGCTATTGCAGAATGAGCAACTCAAATTTAGAACCCAATGATTCTAGCTTTAAAAATCTTTTTTTTTCCAAATTTTATTATTTTCTCTACAATCTAACACTAAAGCAACAATTATTTAAGACATTGGACATACTGGGTTGACATCTTACTCTTTTTAACAATCAATAGCCATATTCAATTCTATGCATAGTCCCATTTCTCTAACCAATAATAAAAAGAGTTCCAAGTTTGATAGAAGTATGCATCTTCCTTCTTCAAAGACAAGGTCAATCTGTCCATTTCTGCGCAATCCAAAATCTTTTTTAAAATCAGCTCTTTGGTAGGTGGCTCTTCACTCCTCCAGTGTTGGGCAAATGCAATCCTTGCCATGGTAATTACATGTAAAATCAGATATATAGCTTGTTTATCAAAATCATCAGGAATAATGCCTAATAGAAAAACTTCAGGTTTAAATGTTAAATGTTTTTGTAGCATTTCCTCAAGCCATTTGTGTATTTTAACCCAGTATTTTTTTCAATTAACACAAGTCCACCACATAGGATAAAAAGTACGGTTTGTGTTTATATTTCCAACATCTGTTTGACATATTTGGGAACATTTTTGCTAATCTATTTGGTGATAAATACCATCTGTAAAACATTTTATCAAGGTTTTCTTTATATGAAGTTGCTAAGGTTATCTTAGTATTTCTTTCCCACAGCTTTTGCCATTTCTGTAACTCAATATTATATCCAAAATTTTGTGCCCATGTTATCATAGTTTCCTTAACTTGTTCATCTTCCATTTTCATGTCCAAAAGAAAATTATACAATCTTATAATCATTTTTTCATCTGATTTTAAAATCATTTGATCAAATGTTGTTAGTGCCTTATAAAAACCATACATTCTATAGTCTTTAATATACCTTGATCGTATTTGAACCTTGTGCTGCCAAGAAATATCAATACCCTGCTCCTGTAGTTCTTGATTCGGTTTCAATTTTCCATCATTATCCAAAATATCACCGTATCTCACAATCATATTAAAATTCAATGCATTTGGATATGCAAGAGCTTCCATAGGAGAAAGCCATCTCAGCAACTTAGTGTAAAGCTTTGTCTTTAGCTTTTCCCAAACCAACATCAATGAATTTCTAATATAATGATTTAAGAAATAGCCATGTGTCTTACACTTCTCATACCACATATAAGCATGCCATCCCATTTGTAAATCATGCCCTTCAAGTTATAAAATTCTCTTACAACTATTGCTATTCTTCCCAACAGTGATAATTGCAAGTTAGCGCATTTTCTAGATCACTTTTAATCTCCTTACATAGTTTAACATAGTTATCTTCTTTCAATGTAGAGCATTTAGCTGTAAGAAAGATTCCCAAATATTTAACCTTTTTAACGATTTGAAGGTCTAATTTGCTCCATCAAGGGTGTTTTTTGCTCGAATGTAAGATTTTTCACTAACAGTTTAGTCTTTATTTATTTTCAGCCCGGTAACTTCCCCATAGTCTTCCATCTTTTTTAAGAGTTTAGGCATCATTACCAAAGGATCTTCTAAAATAAAAACAAGGTCATCTGCAAATGCTTGAAATTTATAGCTTTCATCTCTGATTGGCACCTTTAATATCCATATCTTCTCTAACATTTCTATTTAGAACTTCTAAAATCAATATAAATAACAATGGTGATAAAGGACATCCTTGTCTTGTGCCCTTTTGAATGTCTATAGTGTTTGTAAGTTCTCCGTTGATTATTATCCCAGCAGTCTGTTTTTCATAAATGCTTGATATTGAATTAATAATTTTTTAAAACTGGAAAATGTATTAGTTTTAAAAATCTTGTAAACAGCCCAGGAACTAGCATACTCAGTCCTGTTGCATTTCTAATAATTGTGGTTAAACCTTGATTGCTGGCAACATGAGAACATGAGCCTGCTACAGTTAATATGTTTTATTCAAATTAGTTTATATTAGCCTCATTATGTTTAAGAAAAACTTAGTAGTTTCTTTAGAAAAATCTGATTTTTTTCCTCCAAAAATCTGATTTTTAATTTGCTTTATATTTTTATTCACCCTGCTTACAGCCCAAATTTTTATAAATTAGTTTCTTTTGGCGTACTTAATTGATCTGCAAGCTTCTCTAATATGGATGAGATACTATTATAAAAGGTTTATTTTGCTAGTTATGAATGAAAATAGCTTCTTAAAAATCTGTAAAATTATTTGTTAGTTATTTTAGTTTATAACAAGCAACGATGTCCCAATAATTGAGGAAATAATGAAATTCATGAGCTAAATGATACACTGCAGGATTTCCAAATGATGCTATCTGAACTAGGTCTCCTTCACTTGGCCTGAAGCAATACAACAAAGTAATTTGTCTCAATTTAGCTACTGTAATTTCTTCTTTGGGATCAGGTGTTCTCAGATGTGCATTCAGCACAATGAGATAACAACCCTTTCCATTCCTCGGATACACTGGGAGTGAGAAGCACTGTTCCTGAGTGCCATGCATACTACCATCTATTCTAAGCCAAGCATTTTTAATTTGGATGAAGTTTGCACTGAAAATGAAGAACACCTTAAATATGGTCTTTTGTAATGGGGCCAAATTGTACAGACTTTTTTGAAGAAATCCATAAAGTGAAAACTTCCATATATAGCACCCTTGTCAGTGTTGTGCGCTTTGACAATCTGAGATTTGCGGATGTCTACAATGTCCTTCAGTTTAACATAGAACCCAGCAAATTTTTCTATGGATCTGTTTTTGGGACCACTCAAAACCTATTATAATCATAACACAAAATGAATACTCACAGGTTATTGCATCAAAGCAATCTTAGAGAATTGGCAGTAGAACATATCTTAACCAGTTGAGAATGCTTGATTTTGGTGAAAGTATTAGCCTAACATATCTATTCAAGTATGTTTGATGCACTTAGTTTGCAATTACACTCTATTTATTTATTTATTTGTTTGTTTATAACTTTTATATGCTGGCACCACATGCCTCAGTATCTCAGGACAGCTCACAAACATACAATTAAAACAATAAAACAATAACAAATTACATAAAATTATATAAAAACAAAAAAGCGACTGTTAACAATAAAATATTAATTTTAATAATTAATAGTATTTGCATGGCAAACAGGCTTTTTGGCTGTAGCACTGCCTGCTTCAAGTGAAGTTTTCAGCTGTCAGTAGGCAGTGCTATCTTTTCTGGTATAATCCTGTTGACCTAGCAAAAATTCCCTACGGTGTGTAAAGAAACAGCCTTGTACTGAAGTTTCCTCCTCAGAGTGGGACCACTTTGAAGTGCATCTGCAGGTGGGAGCACAATGCTGCATCTGCACGTGTTGCTAGACTCCCTTCCCACCCTGTCACACACTTGCTGGAGAGGTTCATGGAGGTTCATGGAAGGGGGATTTGCTGAGCCCTTGAACCATGGTTGATCCAAGTACAGTTTGGGAGCTTCCATTAAGCAGGTCATTTAGACTGTGAACTAATATATGTTGCCATGGTTTGAATAATTTTTTCTATCCCTTCTCTGTCTCATTCTATAGTATACCAGGAGGAATCCCTGTTACAGCACGGTACCCAACAACACTGTACCGTGAGGAGACAACTGGTCCTGATGGCTACAGCTATTTCAGCCAAGACATCTAGAACAAGCTCCAGTGCTATTTTTGGATTGCTGGCAGCCCAAAAGTGAACATCTTTTATCAGCCCACTATGGTTTTATTGTTCCTCTGGCTAAATGAAACCTTCCTGTCCTCCATGTACTGATTTAGCTGATTCAGAACTAACTATTGGCTAAAGGATCTAGAAGGAACAGAGATACTAGTTGACATTTGCTCAGTCCTTTAGAATAGTTTTCATTGTGTAATCTCTTGCTGTAATGGCTGATGGTTGGGGTGGGGATTATGTCTGGCATGAGCACAGCTTGGCAACTGCCAGTCTTCCACCTTGAGCCTACCCTTTCCCTCTGCCCAGAAGAAGCAGGAGGGAGTTCCGCACCCAGTACCAGCTAGAGGAGATCAACCTTTGGAAGAAAGCTCGTAATTCTTGGTAACACAATGCTTGTTAAGCGTGAGCTATGGAATGGGCGTAATTAATAGACTGATTGCCATCTTCTCACCTAGAATGGGATGTTAAATTGCTGTGTTTGTCTTCCCCCATCCTGAATTAATTGGGTTTGTGTGCGGAGTTTCCTAGGTCACCAGTTTGCCATTTGCATCCTTTTTGTAGTTTTGCAGATCTTGGTTCTGGAGCATCTGGTGATCTGTTTAATAAATTTGTTTCAGTTAGTAATATGCATAATCTGCTTCAGAAAAGCAAGAGGGAAGAGGCCGTACTGAAGCAACTAGCAGTGCCTCCAGCAGCTGCACTCTCAGTTCCTGGTATTCTTGTGGAAAGTGTAATGTGTTTGAATCTAGCTATGTACAAGGTTCTGTTGTGTTGACAATGTTCATCAGAATTTTTTTTTATGTGAAGGCTTTTAAATTTTGATCTTTCTCAGAACTTTAAAGCATTTCTAAAAATTTGTACAAAGAGACAGCAAGGCTGACAGAACAAGCAACTATGATTTCACTTTGAGACTGGCAGTGAAATTTGTGAGGTGATCTTCCCCATTTAACCTGGACATACTTCATCATCATACTAAATTACAGAACAGCGGTTTGCATAGCAGTGCGGTCCTTCTGTTGCTGAGCCTTTTCAGTCCAAGGATTATTTTCGAAGGCTTGGTTTGTGGATGCTATAGCTTGGAAGGCCTTCAACTGTTTCAGTTTCATATGTGCGAAATCCATTTCTTAGAAAGAAGTGTCTGTTCTTCAGAGATCTCATCCACTTCTTTCTGATAACTACTCTGAGGCTCAGAAAGGAATGTAGGTACCAGCTGGGGATACTGCATGAGGTGAATGAACAATGCGCTTTGCTTGGAAAGGAGGTAAAATTAGTTTGTGTGCTGGTTGCTTCCTTTCCTTTTGGTTGTGTACAAGGAGAAGATAAGTTTGAAGTCTGCCAGCATCTGAATTTGTTTGAAATCTGTTGGATGGCATGTTTCCAGAACAGTCCCTTGAAAATCTAATCTAGTTTGTCCAAAAAGAACGTTTATGGCACATAGCATTAAAGTGGGGGACTATTAGGTATTCCCTTTGCCTAGCCCATCTTTGAACTGCTTTTCTGCTCCTGTTCAAAACAGACAGTGGCTCTTTTTCTCTTACTCCCTTTTCTTACCAGCTACTTCAAAATAGGTTCTCTGAAATCAAAATTAATTCCTCGAAATTGGACACCTCTTGTTCTTGAGTCTTGACTTACTAATGCTTTAGAGTTCCCCTGCTTAAAAGCTTCTTTAACCCATGAGTCCCCATAAATAGCAAAAAGCCTATAATCTTTCTTTCTTACATTCCTAACCTTATCTTGATGGCAGAGGTGTTTTCAGATTTGACTATGGGAATTGGAAGTGTTCTGTCTTCACCTTATCTGGGTGGCTTGACATGTGCGTTTGCTTCCCTTTCTGTTCTGATGGGATGAGGGTATTGACTGACACCTTGGTCTCTTCTGGTAGCTATCATATCTCCATCTGCAGTATTAGATGGAAATGTATGAGCAATGCTACCTGTACATTTATATACAGCTTCTGTGGCATATGTGTGTATATTCCCCCTCTGCCATCGTAGAGCAGTTAAGAGGTTCTTTGCCTCTCTGCTTTCCTGGCAGTACTGTTAGGGTAACATCAGGTCAGACCAGCAGTGCATTTTACTGTATTTCATCTTATCTACTATGATGGTTCATTGCCACCAGCAGATCATTCCAGGGAAGTAAACCTGCTAATGTATAAAACTTGCCTTTCACCTGTCATCACTGCCAGGCTTCTGTGTATAAGATATTCTCCACCTGTAGAGCCCAAACTAAGCAGAGTTGATTGCTTTTTTAACATTTAAGTGTTATTTCATCTTCTTAGCTTCATGTTGAGCTGAGGTGACAAGGTAAGGTATCCTAGATTTGCATCTTTTATTTCCAGAAGATTGAAAAGTGTTTTCCTGCAAGACAGCCCCCCTCTCCAGTATTCTCATTTATTTAGTTTTGATCAAACATCATAGCTAAAACTGGAAATGGGATCTAAAAGTAACCTTGTGCATAAAGTCTGCTCTGTGGCAGCATCTGTGGAGAAAAGCTACATACACAACACACACACACACTTGCTGTGCAGCTTTCCCGTGAACAACTAAGAGAACAAATATGTATATTCTGACTTAACTCTGTGTGCATAAACCTTGATTTTATGCTTCATTTTCCTCTGCATTTTAACTTTTTGTTTTGGCATTCTCCTCTTGTGCTGTACTTGGAATTTGGCCTCTGACACTCCCAGTGAGTATTTACAGTCTACAGAGTTGATTTGGATACCATGATTGCATCCGGCAAGCTCTGGCTTCAGAATTTGGTTACTACTGTATATTGAATTCTATTGCAATTGCTATCTATTGATATCTTTGGCAAGTGCAAGGCTAAGTAAGTACTCTGTTTTATTGTTAACACGGTCAATTTGCGGACTCTGCCTAATATGGAAGAGTTATGATAAATTCATAAATTTCCATTTGTCTCTTGCCTGAAATATATATATGTATGTGTATATATGTGTGTATATGTATATGTATATGTGTATATATATATATATATATATATATATATATATATATATATATAGCCAGGCACCCTATTCCTTATTTTAGAGATTAAAGGGTTGTTTTTTCTATTTGTAGTGAATGTACATGCTGTGTTTTTTGTCTGTGTAAATCTGCATTCTTGGATAATTGCCTACCTCTGGAATTCTGGCTGCTAACATAGAACGGTGGTAGGGAACATGTGGCCCTCCAAATTTTAGGGAACTGCAACTCCTAGCAGATCTCCCCTGTTTTAGCAATGGTGACAGATTATGGGAGTTGCATTCAAGCAACATTACAACAAGATCTGGAGGACCACAGGCTTCCTCACCCCTGACACAGAGGAATAGTCTTGCACTGTTGTAGGAAGATCTAAACAATGAAAAATGAGAAATTGGCTTAATTCACAGTGTTTGATAGCACTGGAATGTGTACATGAACATGCACTGTGGATTAGAGGGAGAAGACACAGACTCGGACTTTATATCCAACCACAGCCATTTGAGAGAAAATCTTACATGATGCTAAATCTGCCACTTTTAATATGGCAGCATATTGCACATACTGAAGACTGCTCTGCCCTATATACACTTTACAGTGACTAGTAAAGACAGACACTTATTCTATTCACTTGGAGGGCTTGGAATGGGAGCCAGTAAGTTTAATGCATACAATGCTGACAAGATTAACTAATGGTGCTACAGAATTGACGATCAGATCTGATGCCTGGATAATGCAAGATACCCTGTTCCTTTAGCTGGAATATTATGAACTACCTTCACGTTGACTTGCATCTTGGTTGTCCTTCTGTATTTTGTATCAGAAGGCTAGACAACAGCAACTAAATTCGTTTGGTAATTTGTTTCCATTAAGAAACAAAGATCCATAGTCAAATGCAGACCATAAGCGAGATTATGATAGCAGAATAAAGAGCTTGCTATGTGGCACATACAACACTTTCAGGGTTTATTAGGTCTTTTTTACCATTTCCAGCTACAAAGCATTTGATGGACTTGATAGAAATCCAGGGACTTGAGGTTAGGCAAGTTTCTCATTGGTCCTTTTCTCTTCAGAATTAATCTGATTTGGAAATAATTCAGTCAGCTGTCCTGGTCCCTTGTCCTTTTTAAGAATGTTTTCCCAAAGTTGTGTGTCAAAATACATGTCATTGCTAGAAGAAGGCATGAGGATTCGGGAGGAATTGGTCACAACAAAAATTTATACTCTGTACATGCCAAACAGAAGATTAAAGGGGAAGAGTTTATAAGAAACTTTTTACTATCCTTCATAACAAGGACATAAACTCTTTAATGCATAGATGTGAAGCATGTTCCACCAACCATGCACCTTAAACCCTAGCCAGCATAGCCAACAAATGGATGGTGGAATTTGGAAGCAGCACTTTCCACATCCCTTCTGTAATGATGTAAGAGATGTAGTAAAAGATTAACCTTTACCCTTAGTAAAAGATGAACCACTGCTCAACTGTGCCTGTTCAAATAGACACTAAAATAGTAAGATGGGGCACATCTTCCCAAATGTTTGTTGCTTCTACACTGGTGGTAGTGGAACTTCATAATCCCTCAATTGTGGTCCAACAAGTATAACTTTAATGCACCGTAACTTGCTCTGGTTTGCAGTCTGGTGTGTTGTTTCCAAGTATTTTGAATTCATGCTGGCTGGCTACAACTAGCCAGCATTAAATAGCTCAGAATTGGGGTGTGGAGGCATTGACAGAAATTGAGCTACTAAAGGAAGTGTCTGGTGCTGTGGGTTTGTTGGATTCCAGCTATATTGTCAAGCAAATGTAGTACAAATCCTTCCTGACACTTGCAGTGTTGTTCCCTCTTCTTCATGGCCTCCCTCCATCCTGCTTATGGTTCTTTGAGAACATTCTAGAGTAGAAAAACTTGGGACAGGAAAGCACAGCCACCCTAGTGTGCACGCTCCAAGCACATGGCTCCATGCGCTCCACACGACTGGCCTGGGGCACTGCGTACCATGACTTGATGGAAGGGAGATGTCATTTGCTGCTCTGTCTCAGGCAGCGAAACATTTTCAGCCAGCCCAGTTGGTAAAGCCATCCTGGCCATTAAGAACTCTCCTGGCTTGCATACTTTCCCTGTGGAGCTAGATGTCTGCACTCCAAAAGTCCTGTCCATGGAGGAAAGCATATTTGTCTACCCGACATCCTTGAAGACGGGAATACTCATTGCACTACATTTACGAGGCTTGCCAATGGAATTCAAGATTTATGCACATTTCAAATACTTGTTGGTACTGGTGGCTTTCTATTAACTTAGCAAAGTTGAACTTTATTGCTTTCCACACCTGTGAAAATCAATTTCATCTGTGGCTACACCTAGAATTCAAGGCCTAGATTATAAAATTAAGGGACAAAGTTAATACAGGGAAATGTGATCTTCCTTAGGAATGTGTTAATTCAAAATTACTTTTAAAAAGCAATGCTGATTGTGCAAAAGGCTCTGCGTCATGGAAGAGTTGTGAAAGGTCCACAGACGTCTCAGACAACTATTTAAGGTATGTGTGTGCTACATAGCTGGACAAATGGGCTCTCAAGCAGAGTATCATTCCTCTTCATCCTTTATTGCATTTAGGAGCACACACCTTTGTGGGATTTACTCTGTGGCTGTGTGTAGTCTACAATGGCTGAGATACCCTTTAATATAGAGATTATGGCAACTATAGGCTTACTGTCATGTCACTTCCTGACTGTAGTTTAGAATGTACTGGTCTGTCTTGAATATCTTGTATTGTTCCTTTGTTGTGTTCAGAGTTCCCAGTATGCTCCCTCATGGATAGAGTGCATCCAGAATTTTAACTAGGTTTGGATCATCCAAAGTTTGAGGAAGCAGCACATCAGATCTTTAGCTTGATGATGTTTCTTGACAAAGACCTGCACATAGGGAGGCACTGCCTGGCCTGGGGCAGATCCAAGACAAAATGCAGCCTGATGCAGAACAGTGAATAATGCCCACCCATCCTAAGTCAGAGTGCATAGTTTCCAAGGTTGGCTGAGCTGTTTTGATCCCCAAAACAGAAAATCTCGCACACACCTGACCCCAACCCTGCCTTACCTGCTAAAAATATAAATGAAGCAATTTCCGTGCCCATTCAGGACAACCAGATAGCTGCTTCAGTGTATCTGGGCCTGACCTACTCAATTGCATTGATAAGAGGTAGAGATTTGAATGCCTCCTTAAAGTTTTGCACAGCAGAAGGGGGGAAAGGGGCTAAAACAATGCCTGTTGGTGACTTGTGTGTAGTTCTCTAAAACTAAATGGTAAGCCTCTGTAGTCCCAGTTCAGGCCAGGGAGAGGTTTATACAAGGAAATGCTCCTCCACAAAGAAATATCCCTAAATGCAAAATGTTTCCCAGCCTTTTTTCCCCCCACTGTGTTCATATGAATATTTTTTTCTACAGAGAAACAGTCTGAAAAAAAGGGACTCCAGCTCCATCCAGTCTGATGTGATGTGAAAAGGACTGTCTTCCTTGCTGAAGAGTCTCATCTGTTGGTTTTCTTCCTGGTCTGCTGCTTCTGAGCACTCAACCCCAAAACAATCAGAGCCTGGAATGCAATGTGTAAACTGGTTTCAGACTATAGCCATGTCAAGACATTTGATTTTTCTTTTTCCTCACCACCTAAAATATAGAAGCATTTTCTTCAAATCTTCTCCACCATCCTGTGCTCTCCATGCCCTGGAACAAGGGTCTCAAACTCGCGGCCCGCGGGCCAATTGCCGGGATGGGCGGGTCATGGGGGAGGGGCCCTGCGGCCTTCAAAGTGCGGGATGAGCGGCCCACCACCACCGTGGTGGTGGAATACTTGATGCGGCCCAGCCTCACCCAGACTCTACTTCCAGCGCCCCCAGGTAAGTTGAGTTTGAGACCCCTGCCCTGGAACAATGGTTGGTCTGCGGCATTTTGAGGGTTTGCATTATGGCAGCACAAAAAAGAAACCTTACGGGGGAGAAAAGCTGTGCTGCTACCACTGCTAAAAGGCCCTTGTGCACAGGCAAAAATTGTTTAAGAATCTCCCTCCCTGCAATAGAGAGAGAGAATCCCCCCGCCCACACACACACACACACACACACACACACACACACAATTTTTCTGCCCGCAAATAGAATTTTGAGTGACCATTCTCTCTCAGCCTAACCAAAAGTATACAGTGCTGCCAGGTTTTTACCATTTCTTACCACAAAGGGGCGATGGAGCACTGAATCAGCTGCTGCTTAAGGTGACAATTCAAAACATTCAAAAATGAGCCCCATTCATCCCAATTGATTTCTATGGTGTAAACAAGTTTAAGACTGTGATACTAGTTTCCTAATCTGATGTGAACTGTTTTTCTTGGCCTTGTTGCCCAGAGCATTCCCTTGCTGGGTAGCTCAGTCACTCTTAAAAATGTAGTTGTGTATCACTGCAATTACCATTCTTGTTTGAGAAGTGAGGAAGCATTGGATGCAGGAAGAAAGATACAACCAGCTAAAAAATTGTTATGTTTGGTTCTAGAAATCTCTGAGATGGGTAAATTTCCAACAGAGGGACCACAATTTAGTCCCTAGTTCAAAGATGCGGATAGTAGGTGATGCTGATTGGGAAGACTGAAACCCAGCAACAAGCCTGAATTAGAGTAAATTTTACTAGACTAAATGAACAAATTGTTTGATTGGTGTAAGGCAGCTTGTGTTCAACTTCTTGCTTCTTGCTTTCCCTAGCTTTTACCCTCAACTGCTCCAGAGAGAGGGCTTCTAACACTGTCATTTAAAAGACATTGTGTGGCCATTCCATCTATTCCTCAGTTTTTCTATGTAAACACGAGAGGATGTCATTCAGACTGTTCCATAAATTTCTGCAAATGAAGCAGAGCGATCGCATAACAAAAGCTTTATTTGGAGTTCTCTGTTAGTGGCAGCCCGGAATGATTTCTGTTGGTATTAACATGTGCACTAAAGAACATGGAAACTGCAAGTAAATATCAGCATCCATGAATATCTGCAAGTGCTCTTATATTTGATTGCAGATGATCAGCATTGTTTCCTTTGGGTGCATAAGCGCAATATGGTCAAGCAC